CGTCGCAGGGTCAATGGGCAACAGCCTGAGCCCAAGGAGAGCCGTGTGCAGGCTGAGATATTGGGGGGGACCCCAAGAAGTTTAGTTATTAAACACGCCTGATCTCAAACATTGACTCACTTAAGGGGCCGCATCAGACCCCCCATCCCATCCCCCGGCTCTGAGAAGACTCCTACCTGGGAGGTAGCGGGGTAGGGGCAGGAACGTCAGCACAGGCTGCCCCGGGGAGGGGTCACAGCCCCGTCCTGCACAGGTGTGATGAGCTGCTTATGGGTGGGGGGTGTAGGGAGGAGCCGGCGGAGCGAGGGGCTCAGAGTGGGGGCCGAAGGGGCTGTTTTGGGCGCACCAGAGCCCTCTGGGCCCCGCTCTGGGGACGGGGGGGCTCCTGTGCCTGGGGGCCGGATGTGGCTTCTGACCCCCATTTCTCAGAGGGGACACGGGAGCCAGGGCCGGCTCCAGGTTTTTTGCTGCTGAAGCAAAAAAAAAAAACCCACCGGAGTACCGCCGTCGAAGTGCCACCCCAAAGGGCCGGGGTGCCGCCCCTTGAAAAGTGCTGCCCCAAGCACATGCTTGGAACGCTGGTGCCTAGAGCCGGCCCTGACCGGAGCTGAGGTCAGCGGGACCCGGCCCAGACTCAGCCCTGTTTGCACAGCGTCTCCTCCTGCCCTGTATGGAGCGGGGGGCAGGTTCCCAGGCACCCTGACCCCTTCCCCTGCTGTGCACTTGGGACAACGCCAGTTGCCCCCTGCATGAACTGACGCCATCACCTTTGTTTGTTTAACTCCCACAGCCGCTCCGGCCTCCTCACTGTCCTACTGCCGCGTCAAGGGGATCGTCCTGCTGCTGGTGCTGGGAGCCCTGAGCGCCGGGATCATCGCGGTGCACGTCCTCCCCGGCAGGGAGCGGAGACGGGACTGAGAGCAGAGGAGCTCCCACTGCGGCTGCCAATCCCGCCTGCGCGTTCCCCAGCCCGCCAGCCCGAGGGTGATACAGGGGGACGCTCGCTTGCAGCTTCCGAAGGGTGAATGTCACTGAGTGGGAGGAGGGGAAGTATTGGGTCCCTCTGTGTGGCGGGAGATGTGGTGGAGAATCGGCCCTGCTCAGTGGCGCCCTCTGGCAGCCGCCGGCAGCACAAGTGCGCCTGCCTCGGTTTCCTCCCATTGACCTTCTGAAAAGACCCCAGTGTCTAAACATTCCCCTACCTGGGGCTGATTTATTATCCCAGAGTGTAACCAGCCCCCAGGCGCCCAGCCCAGAGCTCACACAAATCCCCTGACCCAGAGCTCACTGCTCAGTCCCCACGGCTGCTCCAACGCCTGGTTCTTTCCAGGCTTCCCAGACCTTTCCCAGGGATGCCCTGCCGTGCCCGCTCCCAGCGAGGCTCTCCCCTCCTCCGTGGCATCCGGCTCTCTGGGGACAGGAGCTCACTTCCAGCTGCACCTGGTTAATGCCCAAGGCAGGCCGGCCCCGGCCTCTGGCCGTTAAAGGGGCAGAACACCCTGTCACGGAGGCACTTTCCCCCCACTGTGCTCTGCGGCCGATGACTGTGCGGGGCAGGGCGATGGAGAGCCAGGACCAAGGAGTTTGGCCCGGGAGAAACTCAGCTGCCTCGTGAACCCAGGACTGGCCCTAAACACAGGGGACTCCGGCCTGGTCTAGACCCAGTTGCTGCCCCAGTGTCACTCTACAGGTCAGTGGGGGATTTTCTACTGGTACAATGAAAGCGCTGCCTCCCTTACTGGGGATGCCCTTGTCTCAGTGGAAAGGGGCTTCTCTGGGTGCAGCCCCTGAACCTCTTTACCCGGTAACTGTCTCAGTTTCTAAACCAAGCCCGTGTGGAGACAAGCCCTTAGGAATTACCACATGGGATCAGAATCCCGGCCAGTCTAGTCCAGCGTCCCTACTCCAGCCCTGCCCTGCCTCGGATAATTCAGAGGAAGGCAAAACGCTCCCCCTAGTGGGCAATACTGGAATAACCTGCCCATATGAGGAATTTTCCTCACCCCATGCACAGAGAGAAGTTGGTTTATACCCTGGTGCCAAAGAGTTAACGTCCCTTCCACATTCTCTCTCTCCTCCCCAGCAGAACCGTCAATGTCCTTGTGATTCAGACAGGTCGAGGGTGTGTTGGGTTTTAATCCTGCAAAGGCTTGATAGAGCGATAATATCCAGTGGCAATGAGTTCCACAGGATAACTTTCCATCATGTAAATAAAGTCTCCACCTCTGCACTCCACAGGGTCATGATCTTTGTATCGCCAGGGTAACCCTGGAACTGGCATCACACCCACTGTGGGGTTTCCTCGGGGCCCAGGCTCAGTCACCATCTTCCCCACAATGCTCAGCACCTGCTGCTCACACCCGATCCGGATTTGTGTCCCTGTCCCAGCACTGAGCTGCCAGACATGGGGAGGTGCCTTCAATTCCTTTGCGCAGGCCTCTGTCTAGCAGAGAACCTACAGACCCTCCGTTCAGAGGGGATCACAGCCGCCCGGGACGCAGGGCCAGATTCTCATTCATGCCAAGCCCCCGTCACAGCACCCTGGCTGTGCAAAGCGCCCTGACAGTGGGTGTCTATGTACTGGGAGCCCCGTCGAAGCGCTTTCCATTGTCAGAGCCGTGTCAAGGGGCCCCGGGGTAACTGAGAATTCCTAGCGTGACAGGCTCTCCGGTGCAATACACAGAACCATCCAATATCTCAGGAGCTGTGTGTGTTTCAGACCCTTTCAGCCCTGAGCAATTAGAGGAACCTTCCCCAACCCAGCGCCCTGGGCTACTTATAGCTCATTGCGCGACTTACCACAAAAGGAAAGAGCGTCTCGCGGGGGAAGTTGCAGAGCTGTGGGACGGGTCATTTCTCTGCAGCCCCTCGGCACCATCAGGGATCGGCCATTCAGCAAACCCTGCAGGCCTACGCACTCCGGCTCTGTTCAGTCAAGACACCCGTTATATGGGCTGACGGCCGCCTGCTCTGCCTGCCCCTCGCTGTCAGGATGGAGGGGGCTCTACGGCCTCCCCTTCTCTTCCTCCTGTTGTTTTTACACCCCGACGGTGAGTGATCTGTCTGAATTCCAGGGCAGGAAATGGGGGAAGAGAGAGCGGTGCCATTTCAGATTTCGGGGAGGGAAGGGGGCGGCAGTTTAACTGTGAATCCAAAAAGCTACTGGGCACCTGAAAACTTTTGTTTTTTTGCAGATAATAAGAGAGATACAGGTTTCAGAGTAACAGCCGTGTTAGTGCTCCTGTCAGATAATAGTTTCTAATTCCTATAAAAAGAAAGAAAATTAAATAAACATTAGACCCCCTCAACTCTAATACTAACATGTTCTGATGTCTTGTGGCAAGTCACCTAGGGGACACTGGTTAGGTTTAAAATGTTACTGTATATTCCTACTTTCTTACTAACTCTTGAATACAACTCTGGAAACAATTGTAGAAGAACCTAGAGGACTTTCTATCTCTTTTTTTACAGTTCATCAAGCTTGGAATAGATCCTTTAGCTTTTGGAAACATCCTATCAGGGGAAGGCCCCGTGAGTTTATATTCAACCTGCCTGGGGCTCTAGGGGTGTTACCCCACCACAAATAATAGCCTAGAAACTGACTTTAAACAGGAGTGAAACTGACACTTTCAAGTCACTTGCAGAGTATTGCCGACCCCTAATGTTCAAAAATCAAGAATCAGGGTCACCAAAAATCATGAGATTGGCTTTTAAATAATCAGATTGTATAAAAAATAATAGATTTGGTGTTTTTTTCTTTAAATTCTGCTTTTTGAGTCTTTAAGGTGCACTGGGGTCACATTTTGAAGCTTCCTCCAAAGACACAAGAGCTGGAAAAGTCATTGTTCTTTAAGAATGAAGGCAGAAATCATCACACATCACTTGACTCCAGGTGCCAGGGTTTTAAGGAAAACAATATTTATCATGAGACTCACGACAAACTCATGAGAGTTGGGAACACTGCTTTCACTTCTGTTGAAAGGCTCATTACTTTCCAGAAGTGTCTTAAATACAACACCCCATCACGCATGGACTTCCTCTCAGACGTTAGGTCAGTGCCTTAGGGACAGAGTTTCAAAGGCTTTTAGGCACCCAAATATGCAGCCAGGCATGTACTGCGGTTTACAAAGCACCGAATCTTCTAGGCGCTTTTGAAAATCCCATTCGGTGCCTAAATACCTGTGAAAGTCTGGCTGCTAGTCTGTGTGTGCCTCAGTGCCCCATCTGTACAATGGGGATAACAGCACAGCTCTACCTCACCCAGGGGCTGTAATGTGAGGTGTTCAGATACTGCGGTGATGGGGCCACATCAGTACCACAGGTAGCGTGGGAACCTCTCTGTACCACTGCTAGCCCTGCCCTGGGGTTCGGCCCCTTCATTTCACTTATGCCCCTCACACCTTCCTCTGTTCTGAATGTAGCCTGAGCTCAGAGGGCTTGGCTGTATTTCGTCTGAAGTCCCCTGCGTTCTCTCCTCACCCCCTCACCCACACAGGGATTCCTGTATTACAGGTTCATCTAACCACTTCCAGAGCCTTCATTTAATTACCGGCCTTTCCTTCTCCTAATCACCCTGCCTGTGTTTGTGAACAAAGCACTGACTCCCTGCCCCAGGGACACAAGCTAAGAGAAACCCTTCTGTAGAACTCACAATCCACTGAAGAGCTCCGCCCGGGAGCACAGCTCCTGTATTAAACTCGGGGGGGTGGCAGCCCCCCCCCCCCGCCCTACCTAATTGGCGCCCTAATGCACTCCCTGAAGTAGACTGTGGGATGACTTCATCTCCCGCTGCCCATAGGAGGTGCACAAAGACGGCACCTGCATCAGGGGAATTTATGGAGCTTTGGGGGAACCACTTCAAATGCTCCACAAAGTTAGA